AGCCCCAAATTAGGGTACTAACCAGGCCCCATACTCCGTATAGCATGAAAGACCCGGGCCTGGGCAGTAAATTGGCGTCAGAGGGGGTCCAACTGTTATTGAGACGCTGAGAGAACCAAGCAAGGTCATCACAGCATATGTGGTTATTAATAATACAAAATACAACAATCAGTTGCCCGAAGCTCCAGGCCGTTTTAGCACGTAGTCATGGTATATATATTGTGTTCAGAGGAGCTGCAGTCCCTGAACGCTGAACGGGCACGAGATGTGGAGGCTAGGCCATGTAAATTCTTGCCGGTGGCGGGAAGTTATGAAAAGTGGAACCGGCCGTGAAAGCAACATGAATCCACCAACCTGCCACCAGGCCCAGGTCGCGGAGAGGTGAAATGCTCCCAGAGCCGATGACAAGCAGTAATTCCGCCACCAATAAACAAGGCGGCCTGCCACACTCGCAGTGTCCAGACTTGAACAAAGTCAGTGTGATTGAAGATCTTTTCACCCAACCAAGTGACGGGATTGGGTGAACACAGCGCTAAAAAAAGCAACTAACTTTAGCCTCCCCGCTAAGCGAAGGGAAAAGGCTGGTCGTTCTCCCCTTGGCCCAGAGTCTGTGAGCTCACCTCCAGTTTCTTGACCCCAGGCCGTCAAGTCACTCTGACGGAGTCTAATCCTTCTCTCGCCTGCTGCATGATCCTCGACTGCCTCTCGAGCCCCAGGGCGGCTGACGTTACAAGTGGGAGCATAGCGCTTCGCTCGTTTCTGCCAATTACTGTCTCGTACCTTTGTGTTGCATCGCGTTCGATTCAGCGCCGCTCGGACTCCCGTTTTCGACGACAAACCCCCTTTCCAGTGCACAAGGGTCTCGAATAATTGATGTTCTTTTCGCCCAACCACGGTACGCTTCCACTTCGCATGGAACCCTAACGCCGGCTCCTGGAAGCAAATTCGAGAGGCGTTGCTAATTGTGGCTATTCCGCTTCCCGCTCTTTAGTGCTCGAAGCCTAGGACGTCGTCGAAGCCCTCCCTCTCTCTGACCTCGTCCTACCCGAAAGCTTGACGCCCTCTTGTTGGCGGTTAGACCAGTCCCCGTTCAATCGAAAGTCAGCCCGTCGTCACGGCCATCCCTCCGATTGACCAATCAGGCGACCAATCATCGCCTGCGATCTGCCGACTCTTCTCCTCTCGCTCCTCCAGAACGATTGCCGTTGAACTCTCGCGCCGTTCCTTTTGGTCATCGTCCAAGACAGGATCCCGGGTCATTGAATCCTGACATACATTGGCTCTAGAGTCGCTCTCTTCTACTCTCAGCCTGCCCACATCACCCATGACGAATCCGTCTTCCTGTACGTTACATCAACAATGGTCCTGCTCTTCTTCAGTATCTGCAATATTAACCTGTACTCGTATCCCTAGTTCCTAGTTCCTCTTCATCGGGAAACGATGCATCCGGGAACCCAGAAACCAGTCGAGGGGATGGCACTGCAGCCCATCCTTCATCGAGCACCAGCGCCGTGGACCGGCCCAAAAAGAAAAGATCGCTACATCGCATCCCTTCCCGCTTCTCGTTCCATAGGCAGCAGAAGGAAGTGTCCGCTGGCTCGAAGGGTTTGGCTCCAGAGGATGCTGAAGTTACGCCTCAGAGTTCTCGAACAAACCTCGCGAAAAAGAATCGAGAGGGTAGCAAGGCTAGCAGTCGGCTATCGCGTCGCAATCAACCTCCACTAGAGGGTGCATCCACATCGAAACATGCTACCACAAACATGGATGGCAGTTGCAGCCCTGAAAGGAAGCCGAGAGGCCACTCCAAATTATTTGCGTTCCTAAACTGCTGCAGTTCCCCCAGCGATGACAGCGATGGGCCGACTCTTCCTCCCAAAAAAGCGACGAAGGCACAGGTAATCCAAGAAAGGCAAGCCACAACCGTGGAGAAACCTGAACCTAGCGCCGGAGAGTCGAGTATGGCGGAGTCAAGAGATCCACATCCTTTTGATGAGAAAGCAGGGCTCAAGGTCAACACCGAACAGCAGCCATCCAAGGCTGAAGCTGAAATTACGGCACCGACGAACGAAACGATAAAACAAGACCATGACAAATCCACTCAAGGATCGAAGTTGTCCGTCAGCCCAGATGCACCGTCTACCCTTTCCCAGTCTGTCTCGCCCGGTCAACCTGAACCGTTGCAGAGTGGAATTGGAGCGGACTCAGAAGTGACTGCTGAACAAAAGGCACCATCATCTGACGAAGAACACTTGGCTTCAGCAAAGTCGCCGAAGCCTGATGAAAAGAGCGAGTTTGACTCATACATTACTTCGCGAACGGATGGACCTTCTGAAGAAGAAATATCTACAGCGCCAATTCAAACGGTAGAGTCACAGTCCGAGCTTCCACCGCCTCCGCCCCCGCCGTCAGACCACGCTCCTCAGACACCCGAGACTCAAGCTCCGCCTGTTCCACCCGTTCCACCCGAGAAAACGCAGTTTTTGTTGCCTCCCATAGAGCCGCATTTAAAAAATAGAAAGTGCCTTGTTCTTGACCTCGACGAGACCCTTGTCCATAGCAGCTTCAAGGTCATATATGCCCCATTCATGGTGTGGAAAGGCCGTTTTACTGATTCCAAGCAGATTTTAGATAAAGCGGATTTTACAATTCCTGTGGAAATCGAAGGACAATACCATAATATCTATGTCATTAAACGCCCAGGAGTCGACCAATTTATGAAGCGGGTAGGCGAGCTATACGAAGTCGTCGTGTTTACAGCTTCTGTATCAAAGGTTCGCTCTCTCAATCCATCAAATTGTGATCATGGTAAAGCTTGAGACTAATTTCGTCTAGTATGGCGACCCGCTATTGGATCAGCTCGATATCCATAAGGTTGTCCATCACCGCCTGTTTCGAGATAGCTGCTATAATCATCAAGGGAACTATGTCAAGGTAATATTCCTGACTCATCATGATAGTTTTATCCCACTTACAGTTGTATAGGATCTTTCTCAAGTCGGACGTGATCTCAAAGACACGATTATAATCGACAATTCCCCCACTTCGTACATTTTCCATCCCCAGCATGCTATCCCTATTAGCAGTTGGTTTTCTGACGCCCATGACAATGAACTACTTGACCTCATCCCGGTTCTCGAGGATCTCGCGGGCTCTCAAGTTAGAGACGTGAGCCTGGTTTTGGATGTGTCTCTTTAGCTCATCTGATGGTCCACGGTGACACCATTTGGGCCTTTTTGAGTATTGTATCAACGGCCGCTGCTGGGTGCATGCGCTATTTGTGAAAGTTGTAAGCTTCTTTGCCTGTTGGCTGCGCCTCCAAAATTAACCAACAGAATTGCCTCTCGTGGCGGCTGTTCTGAGAAGCAGGTTTCATGTACCGAGTGCAAATATTTTATTTTGGCCCTGCGAACAGAGGATCCTTACATCAGTGTTTCTGTACTCATTAATTCAGACGCCAAAGCTTTGATTATACCCCCCTGGTGGCTTTGATTCCCGGACTTATTGTTGCTATTGCCCCAAAACCACTCCTAGCGAGCATTCATTTCCTAACTATTTCCTTTGTGCATCCTGTCGGCGTTCGTTCTCAGCTGTTCGCGCAGTGGACAAAATAACCTTTTATTTCCTACCTATCTTGATGCACTTTAATCCTGTCACTGCTGATATACTCCCATATCCCTAGTTTATTTTGATTTGATATCATACCCATATATCTATTTCCCATGTTTTAGCTGATATATCCCTGTTTGCTTGCCCTACGACACTTGATTGAATGTATTGTGTTTAACCTCTGTGATTACAAATTTATCTTCCCCCTTCCCAATAGCCCTTAAACTTCTTCTCACCTGAGAACCATGGTTTTAAATACATCTCTCTACACGCAGACACGGAAGCTGGATTCCGTATATTAATGCACTAGATGTTGCCTTGCTTCCCTTGTCTTATTACTTACTTCAGAGCTTTGCCCCCGATTTCCGTCCGATACGTTTCCTCGATTTATCGCCATATTCTTAGCGACGCATTTGCGGTATAAACTGATACCCAATGTATGTGTAAAAGATAGGGCTAATATCCATCTCACGAAACAGCGTCTGTGACAAATCTGCATTTTATACAACTGGCATTCCCAGCTAATATTAATTTATTTATTTTCTTTTTCATTGTGTATCATTGTTTTGGACTCTGGATGTATGTCTGTTGTAACTCACCATTCTAAATATTTCGGGGATCAGACCAGCGGCCTTATTCTTTTCCCTTCTTTTTTTTTAAGCAACATCATGAATTTAGGTCAGTTGCTGCTGTCTACCACATGCACATGTCATAAACTCATCTGCTATACAAGCATTTACTCTTGTTTGTAAGGGCCACTGCCTGCTACTACTCTGTTTAGGTATGCCCTAGCTAGAGAGCCTGTGGACATGAGAGAATATTACACAACTCCTCCCAAAAGCTTGTGAGAATTGGGGTGGTGTAAGCGATAATTCAGGCAGATTGTCATAGCCCAAATCTGAGGATTGATACGCTGAGGTACCTGTTCTATAATGGAGGTATTGAACCAAAGGTGACATATTGAAGTTTGACAAGCAGGTATGTATTGCAGGTCCATTTCATTACGCCAAACAAAATTGCCCCATTTTAGGAGTGCATCTTAGTGTGGTAGTTACATGTCTCCACACGTATATGCGGATTACCCTCGCTATTTTGATGTGATTCTGGAAAACGGCCGGACTTCAAATGTATATTTATACACTATTCCTATTATGGAAAGTTGTAATGCAGCGGGTACCTGTACTCTTACATCTGTGCTAAGTAAAAGGAACTTTGCGTACTCTATACGGAGTACAGCGGCGCGCATGCACTACCTATTAGGAGTCCTCGTCGTGGCCATGAAGCGCCGCCTTTTTAACTAAGCTTCGCTTTGCATACTAAGTATCCAGTTCACGCCGTTTGTTGACCTATTCTGCTGTAATTCCTTGTTGAAGCCATTTCTTTTTGACGCCCTCAAGTCTACTCCGCTTGCCCCGCCTGGGCTCATTGCCTGCCTTTGCAGTTGCCTGATTCCGGGAAAAGTTAGACGCCATATTGAACCGTGAGAACCCGGGATAAACATGAAGGACAGTAAAGGGTGGGATGGGAAATTACGCGTCGAGCGGCACGCAGTGCTCACCAATCCGGAGGCGCTCGAAGATCCCGATCATTCAGATGAAGATGCCCTTCCCGTGGAGGAGATAGAAGCTGATGAAGGTATCCACCTGTATTCTTGCTTCACGCTGCTAAAGGGTTATGAGTGCTGACTTGCGTTGCTGGAAGACTTGCTAGAGGGTGTAGACAGCGACATTGATGTACGGACTCCTCCACTTTCCCGCAAGGATCCGGGTGTATTATAGTTCACGAGCTTCTTTCTGACTGCAAAGCACGAGCGAGCAGGATATCGACCTTGTCCATTCTCGAGTTACATCGTTAAAGGCTCTCCGACTAGAGCGGTTTACTCACCTTGAGGTATTTAGCAATCCTAACTGTTCCCTCTCCGAAAACTGATTCGTTTACTAACGCCGTCCTGTTCAGAAACTATGCCTCCGCCAAAACCAAATTCCACGCATGTCATTCCCGGACAATCTCGGCCCAACTCTAAAGGACCTTGATCTATACGATAACCTGATTTCCCATATCAAAGGATTGGACCAGCTTACGAACCTTACCAGCTTGGATCTCAGCTTCAATAACATAAAACATATTAAGAATCTATCAAAATTAGTCCAGTTAACGGATTTATATTTTGTGCAAAACCGGATACAGAAGATCGAGGGACTGGAAGGATTGACCAAGCTGAGAAATTTAGAGCTTGGGGCGAATAGAATACGGGTTGGTGAACACCCCAGACAAAAGCGCGTGAGGCTTCACAGCTAATATATGGTTTCACCACAACATTTAGGAAATTGAGAACTTAGATGACTTAACATCATTAGAAGAGCTATGGCTTGGGAAAAACAAGATCACTGAGATAAAAGTACTGATTCCTTCCCGTGACAGGGCAGCTCAGCCGGACTAACTAGTCATATAGAATATCTCACATCTTTCTAACCTGAAGATCCTCTCTCTCCCTTCTAATCGACTCACCAGTCTCTCGGGATTGTCGGGCCTAACAAACCTTGAGGAGCTATATGTTTCACACAATGCAATTACGCACATTTCGGGCCTTGAGTCTCTCAATAATCTCCACGTCCTTGACATTTCGAATAATCAAATATCCACTCTTGAAAACATTTCTCATCTCTCCCATATCGAGGAGTTATGGGCCTCCAATAATAAACTGGCCAGTTTCGACGAGGTTGAGCGGGAACTTCGAAATAAGGAGGAGTTGAAAACCGTTTACTTTGAAGGTAACCCACTGCAGACGAGAGGCCCGGCATTATATAGAAATAAAGTGAGGTTGGCGCTACCACAGATTCAGCAGATTGATGCAAGTGAGTTTTATTTTTCCCTGCTTCTTCATAGCTGCTCTTTTACCCGTGTGTGTCCATATCCCTTCTTAGCTACATTTACTTACTCCACTGACTTAGCATATGTTCGCGCATCATAATCGGGCTGGTACTACGGTGTGCAGGATACAAGAGTCAAGCCGAGCGGGACACTCTTGGCTTTTATCCTAGCTATAGTTACGGAATGCGGAGCATTGCAAGCCGGAGCTTTGTAACTACTGGACGTGGTAACTAGTTTGTTAACTCAAGGAGCAATTAACGCACGATTCCGTCGGGACCCGTGATCTTGTAACCATTAGTGATTAGCTGGAGATTTTGCCTGACACTCAGCGTAGTTTGCTCTTCGAAGCAAAAACCAACATACTCTACTCCTTAATAGACAAAATGCCCAAGTGACAAAGTTGTTTGCGCCGCTGGCTTCGACCCGCCGGGAAGATGTCAACTCCCGAATGCCGGCTTGCGCAGAAAGATCCGCGTCACGTGAAGCTCCTGGACCGGAAACTTTCATTTCAGCTGCCGAAGTTGAAAGCTCCAGGCAAAGTGACGAAACCACGGCGCACCGAGAAGCAGGTTCTACTTTGACGGTTATAGCTGAAAGCGATAGCCCGATTGGGCTCAAAGCGATTACCCTGTCGCCGCCTGGCGGCTCGCAAACATGGCGTCAGCTTTCCGGTCAACGGTTACCCAGCGACAGGTCCATATTACGATGGTACCTGCTCCACGAAACCTTGCACAGAGTCGAACCGTGCTCAAGGCCCTCCAGAAGTTTGGGGAAGTTGCTACGTTCTGGAATTTGAAGGTATCTCTCCAGTTTCTTTTTAAGAATATAAACAAGATTCTCCTATCCGGTTTGTCGTAGCTGATAGGGTATACAGTATGACTACAGACCCAAGGCTTTAAACAGTGGTCGCAGTGCGTTAGCCATATTTGAAACAGCCCAAGCAGCGTCCAACGCTATCAATGCCTCTCCTATTGCTGTTCCCATCCCGGAATCGTCAATATCACCTGATGAACCATTCCCAACCAACTCTGCACCCGAGTCCGAAGAGGCCGAACCCACCTCCTCAGCTCCGAGAATAACATGCACCATTAATCCTTCCGAACATGACCACAACGTGAGCATCCGCCAGAATCCTTATCATCGGCAATTTCATCTTTCGAAAACCTGGTATGAACTCCAGGATTTGTCTCGATCCTCGGGCCCGCGTTCAGTACCGCTCGTACAGTACGCGGATTGCTTTACGAGGAGGAAAGGTCGAGTGCCGATGAGGATTCAGGGTATGTGGCTGCGCGAATCGGAGGAGAATGGAGCTATGTCACTGATGAAGCTATGGAAGAGAGGCATGGAAAAGGAAAGAGAGGGGGAGCGAAAAAGAGTAGATGCGGATGCTAATCCAAAGGCAGGGTTTGCGGCAGAAGGAGAAGCGCCCATTGCGTAGCAAGTGGTTAAGGCACTGAAGGAGAATTCTCCGGATATGGATTGGGAGGCAGGTCGGGGAATCACCCCTATATTTAAAGCGGCAAACCCCCAACACCTAACAGCCAGGCACCGGAGCAAGCCCGTGGAAGGCTAACAGACATTTACACCTCTTAGAATTCTCTAGACTCGTAAATTCGAGTCTTGAATGGCGTGGTCTATTGAGTTTTATCGCCACATTGATCTTCCGCTCCAGATCCCCAAAGAAGGTGTGGAACTTGGAATTCCAAATGCGACTCTTGCCCTTGGTATAAACTTTCTTTGCCGTCCAACTGTGGCCCCCCGAAGAGATTTGTCCGCTATGAGAAATGGTTTGCAGCAGCAAATTCCTTCAAAGGGTGCCGGTCGACTACATCATAAGGATGCAACCGGTGGACTTTCATAAGCCTTCACTGGAAGTTCTTCATGGTTGTTGCAAAGGTCAAGGTGGCGGGAATTGAAAAAGGATACGGCTTCGAACGAACAATCATTGGAGCGTATAATATCCGAGCGAAGGATCCCAATACCTTTAACTGCAGACATATGTCGCAGCTAACGGGCGGCACTATACGAAGTACATGCTCTAATATGCACAGGTAGAGGGACTTTTAGTTCTTAGACTTTACATGGTCCATTTTCAATATCAACTCATCTTTTTTATATTGGCGTATATCTGAAATCCTAACTCAATCTGTAGAAATAGTCCCATCAAGATTGGATCGAGATGAACCACCTTTAAAGTTTATTAGGATCCAGACTGTAGAATCAGTCGTGGGGTAAACCATATCATCTATACTTCAACCAGCACTACTTAAAGGTCATCCTTTCTAGGCAAAAATGGAGAGATCGAAACCGTACTGTGAAGAATATGAAAATCAACAGGTCAGCCAGATCGCTCTTTGGTGCGAGGAAGATTCAAGGAGATCAAAACTTACACGTGGAGGATTATTGAATCTAAGTCCTTGGTTTAATCCGCTAATTGTCTTGATCTCGTCTTCTGTCAAATCAAATCCAAGGACATCCAAGTTCATAGCCAAGCGATTGGGATTGTTGCTTTTCGGGATAACAGCAATGCCACGCTGGGTGGCCCAGCGCAGCAAAACTTGTGAAGGAGCCTTTCCGTGATCCTGAGCGATGGACTTGATATCAGGATGCTCCAGGAGGAGGGGCGCTCTCTTGGCGGCCTCCATTTCCAGCTCAACGAAGCTCTGCGGGCCAAAGGAGGAGTATGCAGTCACCGCGATACCTGATTTCTGGGCGTACCTGACCAAATCTGGTTGAGTGAGGTATGGGTGGTGCTCGATTTGAAGCGTTGCAGGAGGTATACGCGCATATCGGAGTAAGTCCATGATGAGCTGGGCATTGAAGTTACTGATTCCAATGCTCCGGGTGAGTTTCTTGTCCACGAGGCTCTCCATTGCGGTCCAAGTTTGCTGGGTAGATGCGTTGCTAAGGATTATTTTGTTCCCTTCGTATGTGAAGCCTGGCGGATAGCGGACTGATGGATCGACATACTTCAAAGCAATTGGAAAATGGATTAGGTAGAGATCAAAATAATCAATGCCCCAATCTGCCAACTGCTTTTTACAAATTGGTTCGACGTGTTCTGGGTCATGAAAAGTGTTCCACAGCTTAGAGACAAGGAAGAGATCCTCCCTCTTAACTAAACCATCTTTGATTGCGCGAGCTACCCCCTGACCTGCTTCGACCTCATTTCCGTAGTCTGCGTTGTAATCTAGTTAGATACCATTTTGCATATATGTAAATAGGCCTATCGCGTATCAAATGGATGGCGCATGTGAACAACCATGTTTGTAATGGGGAAACAGAACGCAGAAAAAATGTCATATAATATCAACGTGCAACCCCAGTATTCTAACTTGCAACCTTAACGGTAGGCTATTAGTGCTGTACCTTAAGACACAAGGGGTAGAATGTACCTTTGTCGTGAGATGTTGCTGTGAAACAAAACAGGAGGTGGGGGGTTGAGTCGCGAACACGACTAACCGACCCGTTATCGCGCATGCATCCTGGTGCCCCAAGCTGCTAGGTTCGCCCGAACTCAACAGCCCGTGTGCCGGAGACGAGTAGTCCACAAGGGTCCAGCCCAGGTGAAAATCGCCAAGGCAACGGAGAGGGAATTCCAAGCCTCATAGGAGCACCGCAATTAAGGGGTCAACTCCATGCAGTGGAAACACTCGTCTAGAACCAAGCTAGAGCAGGTGCAACTATCTGCATTAGATAGTTAGCCCACTAGGCCATCTTCCCTCGTTGTGCTAGAGGGAAGAGGTCTTGACCCTTATATTTAAGTTCCCTTTGTAAAACCAAGGCAAGTTGCGACAAAAAAAAAATCCTTGGGTATACATATATAATCCATTCCATCATGGCATCGACACTCATGATGTCAATCCTTCATAGGGATACCGCCAACATACATAGGGATAAACTTAAGAAAGAGCAAAGAAATTATCCATACATACCACAAGCGCCATCGAAGCAACGATACCCTACTTTAATTGCGTTATACACTTGTTCAGCGCAGGTATCATTGTTGACCTTCCAAAGGCCGAAGCCTACCAGAGGCATCTCGTAGCCACTGTTTAATTTGATGCTGGCGGCTTTCATCTTCTGCAAAGTGGCCCACAATGCGGGAAAGAAGATTTGTAATTCAAGATTGCGCCTGGAAAGAAAATGGAGCAAGAGATGCCAGCAGAGGCGAGAATGCAATACTGAGAAACGACACGGGAAATGGGATTGAAGTTAATCTGCAGAGCAGACTACCCGACCTTATATATATATGCCCATGAGGTCCACATAAACAGGCTCTATTCCACTGGTTGCAGCCAGAACCCCACTCCTGATGCGCTTTCGCGGCACCGAGATCTTGCTTGAACCACGGATGCACGTCACGTTGCCGAACGGTAAAGACGTCATTCAACGGAGGCAGGGGGTTAGCAGATTCTCTGCACACATTCAACACTGGGTTCTACGAGAATATTTCATACTTGTAGGATTGTCTGCCCCCCTGGTTATCTTCCCTGATCTCGTCAACTTACAGACGTCGTTCCTGATGTCGCGTTCCGAGCCACGATTGATCGACGACTGCACCGCCACACATACCCAGCATGGTCTAGTTACATAATGATGTGGAGCTTGGCGGCTGGGCAGGTGTGGCTGGTTCTGGGCATAAGTCCGCCGACGTAATTCGCGCTCGGCTTCATTATTGTCATCATCGTGGCAGAAACGAAAATTGCTTGGTGGTTACGCTGCTTCTCAGACTCAGATTCTTCGATTTTCATATATTTCGCGGAGTTGTCCCTTTTACCCTTCTGTGGTTAGTGCTGTCCAGAGATAAACAAAGAAAATCCAAGAATGGCGATTTGTATTACTTTCGGGACGCATGGTAAGTCCAGAACGTGTGTTGCATCTTGCGGGAAATCTGCCAGCTCGCCATTTCAGTTTAACCGACAGGATGGTTTAGAATTTACCTCGCGGCTCCAAGGATACGAAAATATAACGGCACAATGCCAGAACTGTGAGAAAACCCCGTTAGGATAAGCGGCTCAATAATCTTGGTGCTAAATAGGTCCCTCGATAGGCGGAAATTGGTCTGCTCAATGCATCACTCGGTGGTAAGTGGCTACCGGCTATTAAAACCCGGCTGTGATATAGCCAAAACACTGAAGCTTGAATGGCTAATAATTGCTCACCAGGCCATGGTTTACAGTATGTTTCGTGGTATGCTTGGGCCTGGTTCATTCCTTGTGCGGAACCGCTTTCTAACCTCATCTTCACATATATAGCCTGTTATTCCGTTGGCATTCCATAAGTACAAGGTAAGGCTTCTTCCTTGAAATTAGCAAAACGGATCTAACTTACTTCCGTTGCGCAGGAAGTATATTGTCACATCTGCCGGTTTACACAGGATATAAAGTATGCGAATGATTCCCGTCTGAAAGAGACTCGTTGGTCTTAGCCTAAAATTCAAGAAGCTTACATGGGGTTAGATACCGACCCGATGTCCAATCCCAGCATATGCAGGGAGGCCAAGGTCCACCTCCAGTCGCTTCAGGTGCCAATGCTGGACCAGGACAGTTCCCACCAGGAGGATATTACGGTTATAAGTGATAGTTAACTATGCGGAGTACAATTGTGCATAGCCCAGGTGATCAACTAGCTTTCGGATCTACTATGGTGTACATCGCTTTGAGGCGGCATTTTTACCTAGGCTGGGAGGAGACGGCGTTACTTTGGCTTTGGGATGTGTCGCTTTTTTCACAGATATCCCCTGTGTTATGATGCTATTAATAAGTCTGTAGAAATACGCGACCTTGATGTAACGCTCTATGTAAAGAATTGTTTACTGTGACCATAATGCTGTAGTTGATGTCAAAGCTGAACATGATATGGAATACATATGAATGGTCTATCTCGACACCGCTCATGAACTCCTAGCCGCTTGGCTCGCGTGATTGGTTACCTGTTTGAACGTGCAGCACTTTGCGCAGTTCTTCATGTTACACATATCAATCAAGCCAGGAATACCGAAATCCTTCCTGGAAACCTCCAAATTTCCTGATTCCAGTAGCATCACATAGAAAGACCAATATCACTGATCGCTACCTTCTAAGGTAGGATCCAGGCTGACTGAAATTCATTTCCAACATCTACATGCTGAATGATGTTTGCTAGTGGTAAGTTGAGGCATTGCCTGTGCTAGTCCGAAGGGAGTTCAATTTAAATAAGGTGCTGTATGATGCAAGTTATAGATGGTGGAAACATGCACGTTGAAGTAGTATTATCTTTTGCAATTGTCCTCGCGAAAAATTCAAAGGATAAATGGAGATGGACAGGGAAATTAAGTGCAGAAATCTGACCCTTTCAACACCACCCGTAAGGGAAATGGACCTGGGAAAGGCGAGCAAGGATCTTCAGTCGCTGTACAAATCAGAAAGAACTTCGAATCAAAACCCGATTGTGATAAAAACTGGCGAAAGGGCAAAGTAGGAAAAGTCACAACTGTATCTCATGCTATTTTGCATTTCACTTTTCTCGGCTGACACTTGTCGCACAATAAAGTCTGAAAAATGGTGAAGAGCACGACAGCCGGCGACAGCAACATAAAGGGTCCAGCGGAGTATTTATTGGGTCTTAAATAACAAAATGGCACAGTGCCCCAAGTAGAAGTAAATGAAATGCTTGGTTTCTGTTATTTTTGTCAGCAAATAGCCAGTAGTCGTAAAAGCGAAATAAATACAGATAGGGGTCAGATGTACCATGTGTCACAAAGCTTCCAAAGTTTCGCCCAACGATGCAGTGCCATGTTGCGCCCTTCCGAGAGTCAAACTGGTCATGTTTTAGCGCCATTATGGAGTGCAGATAGAAAAGTTATGTCAAGGTTCTCGTACTTCTTTCTTGATATATTGGGCAATGTCCTATAGCACTCGTTAGCTTACCCCGCGCTGCGTGGCCGTTCGCAAAGCGCAAACATACCTTTTCGATGTGAAATTTCTCCATTGCCTCCTTAGCTGCAATGCAACGAGCGCATCAGTAAAGATATCGCGTTTATACTTCAAGTCGTGAGGTATTCGTACCAACTTCGATTGCCTCCTGCTGCATGTCCTCATTCTGTTACGCACACAAGCATTAGCGAAGGCCGTTCCATTACGCGCCGAGTAATGAGGGATCAGGCAATCTCACCATATCAGCGGACTTGATTTGAGCTTTGGGAAAGAAAAAGACCCAGTTAGCCATGTTTGCAAATGCCTCGACGGAAGTAACCATGGTAGTAATAAGAGTAAAGAGGCAGTGAACAAGAGTCACCTTCAAGCTTTCCCTCGGGTTTCTCGCGTTTTTCGGAAGCCATTGCGAATCTAGGAGGGGAGTCCCCTTTTTGTACTAGTCAAGTGGTGTTCTGTAAGGGACAGAGGCTCGGCGGGATAGCAGATGTTGTTAGGCTTTGGGGAAGATCGTTCTCACAAGCAGTTCATCATGATGTATGGAAGAGAATGAGGGTGCTTTGGGGGGGCGCTCTCCATGGCTTCGTTAGCTCTGTGCACGGACCATCTCTCTGCTTAACAGGCGGAAAAAAAGTTTTCTTTCTTGCTCCCACACAACAAGAATTCCCATCCCATCGTGCTCACCAGAACAGCAAAGTGCACATTGTTTGCAGCCTTGCTTTCTGGTGATGGAAATCACAAGAGTCTTTGTGTCAGGCTTGCCGCCTACACTAAATAATGATGGGCTTCGAAGTCATTTTGCCAGCCGTTTCGAGGTCACCGATGCTCATGTCATTCCCAAACGGCGAATCGGGTTTGTGGGATTCAAAGACCATAACTCCGCCCAGAATGCAGTCAACTACTTTAACAAGACATTTATCAGAATGTCAAAGATTGCCGTGGAACTGGCCAAGCCTGTGAGTATTGGGAAACTGATGTCACTGCGTCCTCTGTAGCTTGGTCAGAGATTGTGCTGACCATCAAAGGATATATGAAGCTAACCTAATTTCAAGGTAGATGCTGCTCCTGAAGTAAATTCGAGGTCAAAAGCTAGGAATAGCTCCCCTCGTGATGCAGATACCAGCTCCAAATCTGGCTCATTAAAACGAAAACGAGGTCTTGAGGAAGATGACCCAAAACTGCAGGAATTTCTCAACACTATGCAGGCGCCAACAAAGACTAAGACCTGGGCGGATACAGGAACAGATCTAACTACTAGCTTGCCTTTTCATAACAAGGATTCAAAGAATGCCGAGATCCCAAACGAAATGCCAACCAAAAGAGTCAAAGCAGCCCTAGAGCCCGACTTACCTAAAGAGTCTTCTGAAACTTCACAGTCCTTGAGTACTGGGTTAAGCAACAGAGAGCTGAACAATGACGCCCAGGCTACGGCAGAGCCTGCGGAATCTGCACCGCAAAGTGATGCTGACTGGCTTAGGTCGAGAACGAGTCGCTTGCTAGGTTTGCTTGACGACGAAGAGGATGCAGGCCGTCTAGTGGCTGAAACCACAAACGCCTCACCGCCAGTGAGCCATCGCATTCAACACGAGCCGACGACTGATCATTCGGATGTCTCCGCTGAAAAAGAAGATAAGGACCCCGCTGGGTCAACTGACGCGATTGACGCGAATGTGAAATTAATTCGGGAAACTGGGCGCCTATTTATCCGCAATCTACCATATGATACAACCGAGGAAGATCTTCAAAGCGAATTCGCTCGTTTTGGGAAATTAGAAGAGGTAAGATCTTACCGATTCGTCCTATGCGACCACTTCCCAGCCCAATAATTCCTTGCTATCCCGTCGCATGATGAATACCCTGATAGGGACATCAGATGCTATGCAAATGATGTGAACTTAGGAAAGAGTATTTTAGTAGATGCCTCTGTATCTGAATGACGGCCCTCACTCATTACAGTTATGCAACACTGTTCTGTGATGAATAAGTTTGCTGACTTGATTTAGTTACATGTTGCATTCGACTCTCGTCATTCGACAAGCAAAGGATTTGCATACGCGCAGTTTTTTGACCCAGACTCCGCCATCGAGGCATACAAGCAATTAGATGGAAAAGATTTCCAAGGACGGCTTATGCATGTATTACCTGCATCTTCGAAAAAGACGTATAAGATTAACGAGTACGAGTTATCAAAATTGCCGTTAAAGAGGCAACAGCAGATTAAACGGAGAGCTGAAGCAGCGTCTTCTACATTTACTTGGAATTCTCTCTATATGAATGTATGTCAAGTGCCACCTAGTTTTATCTCCATATTCAATTATTTAACCCTCTCCTAGGCGGATGCTGTGATGGCATCTGTAGCAGAACGGTTGGGGGTACCGAAATCGGCGATTTTGGACCCGACTTCGTCAGACGCTGCAGTGAAACAAGCTCATGCAGAAACGCATATAATCCAGGAAACGAAGGCTTACTTCAGCGCTAATGGCGTAAACCTGGATTCGTTCAAACAGCGTGAGCGTGGAAATACGGCGATTCTTGTGAAGAATTTCTCATTTGGAGTGAAAGCTGAAGACCTCAAAAAGCTATTTGACCCGTATGGACAGATCACGCGGCTTCTAATGCCGCCTAGTGGTACCATTGCAATTGTTGAGTTTAGTATGCCAGATGAGTGCCAGAAAGCGTTCAGAGGTCTTGCCTACAGGAAGTTGGGAGATTCCATACTTTTCCTGGAGAAAGCTCCCAAGGGCCTTTTTGAAGGTAAACCCACCACGCATATTGCCGTTCAGCCACAAAAGGCTGTAGCTCCCGCGTTTTCAACCTCAGAAACATTCAAGGCCGGTGAGCCTGAGAATGAAGTCGAAAGCTCGACACTCTATGTTCGGAATTTGAACTTCTCCACCACTACCTCCAGCTTAATGGACGTGTTCAAACCTCTCGACGGTTTCTTGTCCGCCCAGGTTAAAACAAAGCCCGATCCAAAGAACCCCGGCGAGAGGCTGAGCATGGGATTCGGCTTCGTGGAATTCAGAACCAGAGCCCAGGCCCAAGCTGCCCTTGCTGCGATGAACGGGTATAAGCTCGACCAGCATGAACTGGTCATCAGACCCTCACACAAGGCAACGGATTCAGCAGAGCAACAAAGACGCCAGGACGCGGCAAAGAAAAACGCGGCTCGCAGGACGAAGATCATTATCAAAAACTTGCCTTTCCAAGCCACCAAGAAGGACGTTCAATCTCTCTTCGGCGCATACGGACAACTCCGCTCGGTACGCGTGCCCAAGAAATTCGACCGCACAGCCCGTGGTTTCGCATTTGCGGACTTTGTCAGTGCTCGTGAGGCGGAGAATGCGATGGATGCACTTCGCAATACCCATCTTTTGGGGAGGAAATTGGTGCTGGAGTTTGTCTCTGAGGAAGCTGTTGATCCGGAGGAGGAGATACAGAAAATTGAGAAAAAGATGGATGCGCAGGCAAATCGTGTGAAGCTTAAGCAGCTAGTTGGTTCGGGGAGGAAGAAGTTTCAGGTTAATCCTGTTGGTGAAGAGGAGTGACTAGCTTCCATTTAACTATGCCAAATAATGACATTCTTCCCCTGGGAAGCAGGTTTTAGTCTTGGTTGATCTATAGATAAATGATCAATGAAGAGATGTATCTTAAGGTATGATTGTAGAAACCTGATAAGATGCTCCATCCCGCAACTGTTATAGCGTTTGGCTTATGCCTTGGCCAATGAAATAAAACTTGTAGCCATGGTCATAGAAGCGTAGTATCCTTGCTATTTCTG